ACGGTAATTACATTGAACCTTATGGGGAAATTTCCTTCGGGTTGCGACCAATTCGAGTTGCGGCCAGAGTCACAGAACGAATTAAGTTCGTAAACTGAGCTTCCACTGTATTTCAGATTCACCTTCTTACTTCCTGACTTCAGAAGGACATTGTAGACTTCAGGTTGAGAAGGCGGGAATGCAATAGCCATGTGAATCTTTCGCTCTATGACACATGCTGTAGTTCTTCAGAAGGCCTGCTACTAAGAAAAACCTACCCCAGAACATCTGCCCAGAAGGCGACCAATCAAGAGTAGGCAAGGCCGGGTGGAGCTCTTCCAAGAAGCTTGGCTGTGTTGTTGCATCAGTGAGTAATGCAGAATGAGTGTGCATCTCTTGGTGAGCATGTCACTGACACACCAGACAAAAAGATATCTGCCTCCAGCAGCAGACCCTTAAGAGTCTTGGCATCCTGACTCTGAAGACAGCTCATAATGATCTCAGTTGTTTCCATCCTGGAGACCTTTTGTGACACTGCTTTCCCACAATTAGGAGGAAATGGTGTTAAAATGGAGGTTCCACACAGAAATAACTGGGGATATGGATTTTTTTCAGACCTTGAAAGGCCTGGAGCCAGAATATTCTTTTGAACACTCTCCTCACCCTTCCTACATTTGTCTGGCTATTTTAGATATCAGTGTAATTATTTCTCCATTTTTTCCCTACTGAAGCCAATTGCATAGCAATCGGTTAATAAAATAAAGTTATCTGAAATAAAGATAACTGGGGATCTGCAAAACTCACCATGAACCACTTCTTTTTCCAGAAGAAATGACCAAAACCCAACCTGGATCAGCATTTCTGGAAGAAAAGTCAAATGTTTTGGTGATGCCCAGAAATTTTTTTTCTCCTAGATCAGTGGGTTTTGCACACTACTAGAAATAACACGTGTCGTTATATTTTTACTGAGGAGTTTTGCTGCCTGGAATGAACAAGAGCATTTCAATGATCTCTTCAAACACAAAATTACGCTTCAGATATGGCCCCTGCAAGTATGAAGCTCAAGTAACTGCCACCATAGTCTTTTAGAACGGCTTTTGAATTGTTCCTAAATTGAGACAGTTACTTATGCTCCCACTGTCTTGAGTTTAGATTGATGCAAAGCCCTCTACTAAGGGCTGCCCTTGAAGACTACCCACAGTTGAAACTGAATGCAGCTTGGAGAGCTGCTTCGGTGGGAATCACACTTACATCGCAGACATTGCACCAGCTACCAATTTCTTTTGTGGGTCCAATTTTTGACCCATAAATGCCTGTACGGCCTAAGTCTAGGTTTTACACAGGACCACCTGACCACCTCAGCAACCTTAAGATGTGTGCACTTCAGCTCCCAGAATTCCCCAGCCAACATGTGTGGATTTCAACTCCCAGAATTCCCTAGCTAACATGTGCGGACTTCAACTCCCAGAATTCTCCAGCCAACCATGCTGGCTGGGGAATTCTGGGAGTTGAAGTCCACATATCTTAAAACTGCTAAAATTGAGAAACACTGAGATTATGTTATTACCCTAACTGCACCTTTAACATTTTGGAAAACCATTCAAATCTGTTTCTTCCATAGAGCGTTTGGGGCTGAGGTAATACTGGTCCTGTGTTTTTCCTTCTTGCAATTGGCTTTCCTTCCCCACTCTCATTCCTTTCACTAAAATCAGTGTTGTCCAAACTTGGCCACATGGCTGGCTGGGGAATGCTGGGAGTTGAAGTCCACACATCTTCAAGTGGCCAAGGTTGAGCAACCCTGTTCCAACGTCACAGGAGTAACCACAGAATACGGAGTGATGCACATTAAAAATAAGGGGGAACCAGTCGGACCCTTGTAGTCACCATCCTGACTTTTTTAACTGCACACTCCTCCAGTACCACCATTCACTGAAGCCTAACATTCAACTACGTGGAGTTGAAGTCCACATATCTTAAAGTTGCTAAGGTTGAGAAACTTTAGAGTGCCAGTCCTGGGCTGGGCAGATAGTTGATGTAAACTGGGAAAGGAAGTTGGGTTCTGGTTCTGTCGCCGATGAGCGCAAGGCAGCTTTTCTTCTGCTTCAGCGAACAAAGAGTTTTCTGTGGCTGGACTTCTTGTTGTTTTTATGACTTGGGCAGGAGAATGCTATTTTGTCGATTCCTCCACCTTTTCCCCTCCTCCATAGACTACTTCTGGGTGCCACAAGCCCTGGCCATTCACTGCGGACCATTCACCGTTTCCTTCCAGCACTAACTGAGAGCAGAACACGCTCAATATCGATTGCCCCCTCCTGGGTCAGCCCCCTCGCATCCTTCCTCTACGCTTGCAGCCTCTCATTCAGGCCATTATTGGGCACGGGTATAGCGTTCTTTCAGAAGAGCGACCTGCTAATTCAGCAACCTGGCAGGTGGCCCCACATGCCATTCCAAATCCCTGCCCACATTCATCCTGGGGTATCCACCAACTGCTTTCCTCGATTTGTCCCGCCTAAAACTGAGAAGACATCCCCAATGACTGCTTAGAAGATGGCTTGAAAATAGGGCGGCAAATTTATTCTACCACCAGCAGAAGACCCGTCGATTGCATGGTTACTATGGCCATTGGGGTGTGTCCTAGGACTTTTCTTTTCCAACTTGGAGTAGGATGGGGCAGTGAAACGAGATACCCTTGGATAAGAATGTCAGAACTGCTTTCCTACTAAGTTAGGGCTATTTTAGCTAGGCTGCAAAACTCCAGGTGATGACTGATTTTTGATTGATTGTGTACTATCAAGTCAGGGTGGACTCTTAGTGGCCACATACATAGACCTTCTCCAGGAGGATCTGCCCCAACCTGGTCCTTCAGGTCTCATAACGGTTCACCCATCACTGCTGTAACTGAGTCCCTCCCCCTTGTTCTCTTCTTCTCTTTCCTTGCTCTTCCTTTCACAACATTATTGATTTTTCCAGAGAGCTAGGTCTTCACGTAAGGTGTCCATAGTAGGATAATTTGAGCCTGGTCATTTATGCCTTATGCGAGGACTCTGGATTTTGTTCAATGATCTATTGGCTGTCCGTGGTGTTCTCAGGAGTCTTCTCCAACCCCAGAGTTCAAAAGTGTCAATACTTTTCCTAGCCTGCTTCTTCGAAGTCCAACTTTGGCTTCCATCGAGGGTCACAGGGGAAATCATGGCTTGCACAATTCCGATCTTTGTAGGGATAGACACATCACGACATTTGAATATCTTTTCCAAGTGCTTCTTGGCTGCTCTGCCAAGTGCTAGTCTGCAGCGTATTTCTTAACTGCTTGTTCCTTCACTGTTGATGGTGGATCCTACAAGGCAGAAGCTCTCTACCACTTTGATATCTTCACTCTCAAGGACAATAACTAGATTGCAGCAAATAGATAGTTTTCTGCATCACTTTGCTGTCATCTAGTGTTCATCTGGATTTTTACAACCTCATTATGGTAACCTTATACCAGTGTTGTCCAAACTTGGCCACTTTAAGATGAGTAGACTTCAACTCCCAGAATTCCCCAGCCAGCCATGGGAGTTGAAGTCT